CGACATAATTAAACAATGTTCATTGATACACGAAGTAAAGTCACACGGATACTGTTATCGATGCAGCACCATATGCAAGAACTAGCGGTGTAGGTATTAACGGCAACTTGAACTCAAGCCCGGACATCAATTAGGTTCGACTTGTTCTCGCAATTATGTGCTCAAACTAAATTGCTGGAAGATTCGTCCGACGCTAATGGTTCTAAGTTTCCATGACACATGACTGTGATATCACGGCGCGGGCGCGTTCACACGCCAGCCAGCCGCGTTTTAAAGAATCTATCACGATTCTGTCAAATCATTCTTCTTTCACACATATCTTGGTGTATGTCATACGTCACATGTCAAAATGAAACGTCACGCACTGCCTGATGTGGCCTAATGTCCTCCGCTAATGCGGCGGAGGCCGACAAGAGGACAATTTCCGGGCCCTCCCCTACCTTTCCGTCATTACATACTATAAACAATTCCATAACCATTACAATCATTAATGATGCCGCGCCACCATTAAGCCCGCTCACATTGATTTTCTCTTTTCATCATTATTTATTATCTGAAAGTCAATATTTCAGAACGCCGGGCTCGTCTGCGCTCCTATCTTTTTTGATTTATTAAAGAACTTGAAGCGTTGTTTGTTTTGATAGTTTACTAGTAAAATTAATTACCGCGGCGAACCAATTTACTGCTGAAAGTAACAAAGCTTTTATACTTCAGCATCAGTCGAGCTCGATTCAGGTGCCAGGATCTGTGTACAAAAAAGTTTTGGGTTAAACCGCTTTGTTTTTGTTGTTGGATATCTTTAGGCGACAAAATTCTGTGTGCTGACAGATGCAGAGCTAATGACAAATTAACTGTTAAAAACTCGCGGAAAGGCGGGGAAAAGAGGAAAAAACAGGCGCGTAAAAAGTAACGAGTCGTGGCTTTTATCTCGGAGCGTGTTTCGCGAAGACTGCGTTTATTTTGAATGACGGAGTCCACTCGGCACTGTGGGACGCGACGACGTCGGCCGGCGGCCCCACGTGTCCGCGCCGCCACGACCAACTTAAATCAACTGATGTCGGATGTAATCATCGTTTACTGAATCAAAAACCGTTTGATCTCTATTTCAAGCCTTGTTGGCTACTTCTTCTCGTTATTTGCATTAAAATTCCGTGGCATTATAAACTGAACATAGGTCATAAATGATAGATTGACTCGTTAAGAAGAAATCCGTAATTATCTACTATGACTCGTGTTATATGGTTGTCAAACAAGTTTCTGATGTCTACAGATTAAGGCGGCATTATACGGAAATTTAGTTGCCGTAATACAATTCGATAGAGACTTTAGTTCTTCAGCAATGGAATAAATCAATTGTATGGTTTATTGACAAAGAATGTAAACAACAGCCATCATCGACAGCCTGTAAATGATTCGCTTCGCACGCGAGCGTGGATTGCTCCCACGATAATTACATGAAGTAATGTGTGCAGCAAATCATACACTACGAAATGAGGCATAAAATGTTAGAGCTGAGGCTTGGGAACGAGACGGGCGTGCGTAATTACCCGACGAGAATGTGGCCGAGTCCTGCGGCCGGGACAGCCTCCCGACCGCGTCGCTAAACTAGGAATAAAGCGCTCACTGCGGCACCCTTAACTCGTTAATTACACTCGGGAACTTAATATACTTACCCGTTTCAAATTTTACAACTTGGAATAACTGTAACTGTTCCGAGCGTCACACGTACTCGCGCTTAAAACAATATTTTTAATGAGTGTTCTTGTGAAGGTTGAGCGATGTGTGTCGAAGTACTCGTATCCTCGGGGCATCTATTAAACGGACAGGAATCGTTTCCCACAGCCCGCTCTCGGCTCGTCACGGAATCAATATCGTCTTTTATCTTATGAAACGTGCTCCACATACACACACAGGCTCACCTCGCAGCACGCACACAGGGGGTTGCCTAGGGTTGCTAACGTACAGAATAAAATGAACAAATGCTCAGGCAGATAGCTATAATTAATCCAAATTTCTTCGCTCTCGCACGTGTTTGTTCGCACGGTCTCTAAAACTCAAGAGATTTAATTAAACCGCTGCCGAGTTTTGATATTAGTTTCCCGTTTAATTATAATAACGGTCGTACACCGTGATTCTTTATTGTAAAAAACGTAAAATAACAAAATTTACTAAAACGGCCTCAGAAACATAAAACCTAAAACACGTATTCCTACTATCAGTGACATTTGTTCGTGGCGCGTCGTAACTCCAAAGTTTTACGCCAATTAAAATAGCTGAGTAACTTTTTGTAGCGCAGTCGACTGACGGATGCCGAAATTTATTTGGGCCAGCCTGTGAAGATTAATACGGTTCAAACGAACTAGCGCCTTGTTAATGTTAGTGTAAATACACCGAGTAAAATGTGTTTATTAGTGTACAACTGCTCTGTTGAAGTGTGCTATACACTACTCGAAATATACAAACAATGCTGTGTAATTGGTGCAGAGTTGTTATGCAACATTGTTTTTACGATGCGACTTACTCCGGAGCTGTTCGGAACCAATAACGAGCCCATTGTGAGGTATTTCTGTTCAAATTGAAGTGGCTTGTACTACTTATCTTTAGTTAGCGGGGAGTAATGCACGGTGCGCCGCCGTATGTTAGAATCAAAGCGTGCGCGAGCGATGCAAGTTCAAGTGCAAGAACAAGCCCCATACATCAGCCGGTCAGAAATACATCAGTCAGCGTATGGCATGGGAAAACGTTCGGCTGAGACGCGGCCCGCTTCCTACTTGCCTTATATGCAACAACCGCTATTGCGCATGCTCGCACACGGGTCCGTTGGCTGAGATTTGTTTTCGAAACAATGTCTATTGTAACGTTTTTTCATTGCACCCTAAAAAAACAACATTACAAAGGGCTAACAATCATTTTAAAATATTAGGGACATCCCTAAACCTCCCCCAGGTCATAAATATGCAAACATATTCTCATTCACCTACTGGATACATCATGTTTTTTTTTAGAAAATACTTAAATACTACCCTGTGCAATATGTCTACACCACAACTTATTTAATGAATAATGAAAGCTTTATATTAACAATAACCCATATATATAATATTAATAGCCATCTATTTACTGCAAGATTAACACAATTAATAAATTTGTCTATCAATACAATCAACTTCAATAATAGATCAACCTGTACAATATAGATCGTTAAGATATAAAACTCTAAAAGCATCCGAAAGTTTTTTTATTATAAATGATCCCACGCAAGTTCAATTCCATTAGGTACTCAGACTCATTATTATTTCATAAAAACGTCTGCTTAATTGATAAGCACTTGAAACATTAAATACAAATACATTAGATTCAAGATCTCACGGAGTTCAATGTATACATATTTGGTTCAAAATCCCGAGCAATATCAATTTGATGGGCTATCGATAGAGTCCGCTCGCCCCTGACGTACGAAACAAAGTTGGTCGCGACTCGCGAGGGCTTAAAATTCCCTAATGTTCGTCAAAACATACTTAAATCTGTCAGGAGGCGCTTAAATCAATTTATTATACAGGTACTCGAAGACACTTCGGCAACGAGCATGTTTACCCGCATGTATGTATGTAAATCTTGCGTTCCTTGCTTCTCAAAAAGCCGTATGGAAAACTCTAAGCCTCTTTTATATTCTTATTCCTTATCCTTGTGGGATAATTCGGGCCCATAGGACAGGTTTTTACATAATTTTACCGCATCCCTTTCTATTGGCAGTCCGCTTTACCGGAATCCCTTATTTTTCGCGAAATTTTTATTAGTCACACGGTAACGCGTCGCTAAATTAGAAAACATTCAATAAATCACACGAGCGTAATTCAATTTCGGCGATCGTAAATAAAATTTGTGCGGAGGGTATGTAACGAGTTTAAAAAACAAACATTTTAGAGAACAAAAAGGGTAAACGAGTGTGCGCCCGTCGTATTTGTCGCGAACAATGTTTGTAAGGGTAATTGTTGGAGATGCAAAGTGCTGAGATCAACCAGCCGCCCGCCGCCCGCCGCCGGCACGCAGCAGGGAACCGCGCAGGTCTTTGAACTAATGCCATCGTGCATACACATGCACTGTGTAACGCACGTCAATGCGCTATTCTTATTAAGGTTTACTTGCTGCTCGTTAGTACGAAGCCGTTTATTAATATTGCCCCATAAGAACAACGTAATAGTTCCGGTGATTCATGCGTGTGTTTACTGTAGCGTAGGTGTCAAACCTTCCTCATATTATTATCTTCTACCGTAGACGTTGAAAGCTAGCAGACATAATGTGATTTACTTGATTCGGGAAACTGTTTAGCTAATTCACAAATAAATATGTATAAACAAAAGATCAATCGGTACGACCCAACGCTTATCTTATCATTCTCGATAGGTAATTTAGTCGGGCGAACCCCGTGCTCCTTCCGAGCCGACCCTCATCCACTCGATAATCGTATCGATTAGATACTTTCTCCTTACTCGACTCGGCTTTGATTACCTTGCATTCTTTTTACGTGACCTAATGTTGTCATTAGCCTCCCCGTAGGTAAAAATTGTATATTGAAAGAAATATTCCCAGCCGAATAAGAAATGTGGAATGTTACTCATAGTGTCTCACGTGTTCACTCGATAAAAAACGAACCATGTGTTACTAATAGATTTAACAAAAAAATCGATAAATCTACTAAATATGAAATTTGCAAAAACGCTTCAATAGCGCTGCGGCACATAACAAAAGGCACCCTCAGCTCAACAACACGTAGGTATCGTATTCACACTTTACACAATATTCTTAAGACACAATAGGAAATTCAACCACACGCCGACATGTTGAACACGGGTGTGCTATCGGTCTGTATGTCAGGTCTATCGCCATCCCTCGTCTTGCGTATGTTTCGGGTTTTTTGTGCGCGAGTGTAATAACTCGACGAGCTTGACGGCACCTCGGCGCGGGCGCAAAAAATGACAAAAGCTCAAGTAAGCGAGGGTCGGGGCGGGTCGGCGCTCGGCAGGCACACGGGAGATGCAACGGCCGCCAGTCGGCCGCGAACACCCGCAGGGCAACTACCGCGCCACCACTATCGTGAGATCGCGGGCACGCAACTTATCGTAATTTTCTTCTTTCAGTAAAAAGCATTTAAACCGACAAATAAAATAAAAGTGTATTCGGAAATGTGCAAATTAAACAACTGAACTGAACAGTGAGTTTTGTTTAGTTTCATTTAAAATGAACGTATTTGCGGCAGTGTAACGATGTAAGTGATAAGATTGTATAGTGAAATGTTGGGTTTGGAGATCAAACAGTAGTGAAGTGGACTTGGTACGACAGCAGGATGACTATGAAATCGCTGAAGTACAGCGAGCGGGAGGAGATGATGGAGGGTTTCAGCCCGGTACCCCCTCCCCTCCCGCGCCGGCAGCCAGTCAGGAACATCTACGCCGAACCCTTCGTAGACCCTAGGTAAGTTGCATCTCATGCAAGCAACCAGCAACTAACATCTTCTCTTAAGGTAAGTATGCATCTAACAACGAAAGCTTTGCATTAGGGGTAACTAGCTATAATCTAATAAGAACTATTTTCCTGGGGATTCTATTTCTCGGTATTATATTGGGTATGGTAAATTCCATATTCAGTTATAATTACAATATTATAAAAACATTTTTATTTTCTTTAACAAAAGCTGTTAAAACGAAAGCCAATCAAATCTTAAATTCTTAAGTATAATTCAATATGTTTTCAACTTGATACAAATGTATTGTTAAAAACCAAAACAACGTCAATTATTGTAATAGATATCAAACTAGAAGTTCAAATATAGAAAATACCTCGATTGCCGGAAAAAAAATACTTGTAGATTAACTCTATTTTCATTACAAATTTGTATGCCATTATTTATGTAACAATTGTAGGCAACCAATAATTAAAAAGCAAACCCACCGTCATATTGTAGACTAAGATAAAAAAAGTTTAACTTTCGAGATAAATACTATGAACGAAACACTAAAGTATTCAACAGCAGTAAGATAAAAGACATTAGTGGACCCGATGACAACTCACATAAATAACAGCTTTGATAAAGCCGACGTTAAGACCACGGGACAAGTTCTTAATCATTTCGAAAACATGAACATTGCGATAAGTTTTGAATAATTCCTAGCCCCTTTTAAGACAAAACAATGTCTACATTAATACTCGACAGCAACTTAATAATAGATGATAAGCTATATCGAATAGGAAATATTAAAAGGAAACCAAACGAAATAAGGAAAATGTACAATTCAATCGAGTATTTGAATCAGTTGACGGCATTTGTTTACCGTCCCAACCCCAGCTCCACAAAGGGCGGGCCCCTGTATTCATGGCCGCAGTTCAAAGTAATAATAAAGAGCCTGAAGCCAGAAAACATCTATTTCATATACCGCACGACTACATAAACACGGGCCTCCCTGAACCCCCACAAACCTCCGAAGACCACAGAACATTATTAAAGTAAGGCACTACACAAAACTAATTCTGCGGCTCTTATTCGGGGTGTCCTTTGGGGTTTCCGATCGGAGTTCTCACAATAAGAAATTCTCATTCCAAAATGTAGTTTAGTACTTTTCCGCGGAAAAGGGATACTGAACAATATGCATACGATGTGGCTAATGGTGGGCGACTAGGACGGCTCGGCTGGAGCGGATGTGCGGTTCTATGTGCTGCCATAAATCATATTTTTATACTTGGCGCGCGGTCGGCGGCGGCGGCCGGCAGCGCAGATAGCGCAGTTACTGCCATCTGCGACACCCCAATCGCCGCAGCTTAATTTCAACAGATTCGAGGGCGAATCCCAACTATTAATTCCGCGGTATCAATACGTAATGTTCAGACAGTAATGAAACCGAACACACGCTCCTACCGCTATCTAATTCCGATGCCGACTTTTCTATTAAATGGCTTTCTTTAATTGTTGATAAACGTACTTTAATATCGTAGAAATTGTTCCACCTGTCATAACTCATAAGTAATCGCATCGTCTGCCCATTAAAGCAAGCAGGTCAGAAAAGAAATTTATTATTGACTTGTTTAATGATAACAATTTGACACGCTAGAGCGATGATAGATAACGGAAATATCATTTGACGCCGTACTAACGGTGAGTAAAGAATGTAATTTCCTTTACAATGTGTTAACAAGGGCCGAACATGGAGCAAACTATATGACGGTTAAGTGCACGCAACAATGATGGGTAGATAGCATCGAGGCGCCCTTCATGCTCAGGCGCGCCTCGCCTGCGCCAGGTTCGTCAGTCGCCACGCTTCAACAAGGAAATTGACATTCAAAGGTAACCTCAGGTTTGCTTTTCACACAAGCATTTACCTAATTACTACATTCGAGTCCTCGTAATAAGAGCTCACAAGTCACAATGTAAACTTTACAAATATATCTACCCCATACTGAATACTTTCTTAGCAAAAGGAACTTCTCTAATCACGAAATGCTAATTTACCCTAAACTTAAACAACCTCTTCACACATAACTCACATGTTTATATTTACAATTAAGAAAATCCGTCACAAAATAACTTAAAAGCGTCAAAGTTTAGTAATTAACGTCGGTAAGTAAACATTAGCAAATGCGCCATACGTCTGCAAAGACACGATCGCCAAACTGAGGAGTTGGAAACTGGCGGCAAATATTTGGGCATATATGGAGCCGGGAAGTTCGGCCGAGCAAGAAATGATTTCCATACGGCCTGGACAACGCAAACACAGTTCACCCATCAAAGTCCAACACAAACTTGCAACTTAGTTAATAGCGTTTAGACGATCGCAAACGCTCCTACCGACCGAATTCACATTCGCTTTGTGCATTGGTTCTCTCCTGTTCGGCTCGACGACGGCTGCTGCCGTATTATCTCATAATGTCCCGATTTGTGCATTAAGTGCGAGTTTTGCTCTGAATTTGGTTAATGCTAACCTGGTGGAGATAATAAAATAGACTTTGCGTCAAACCGTACTGCATCTCTCCGTAGTGTGTGAGTCGTAGCCTTAATTGCAAACACACGCTTCATCTGTGTTGCTGATTCTACGACGTTCGTGGATTGGCGTACTAACCAGCTCCGTAGTTTGCAATTCTCATAAAACCCAACGTTTCTCAATACTATTTGTTACATGTACAGATGTACCAACAGGTACAAACTTTCCTGCAAGACATAGTTCGCATACAACATTAAATTAGAGAACAATCATGCTAAAATACTCCTGGTTTTACAAGCTAAGCCAAGAAACTTGGTTCCATCTACATTAAATTAAACACTTGAACCAAACAAACCACGTGGCGTGTAGCGTCTAACTACAGCTGAATGCACAATTCAATACTATACGAGATAGCTGTGTATGTCGCCTAACAAACGGTAGCGACGACAGCAGACAAACAAAGCTTCAGTTGATTGCTAATAGTTCCTACGTTATTAGCATTCAGACTGTCTCAGAGAGAACTCCACCTTATAACATGCAATGTACACAAAGGAATATTAAACACGTTCTCCAAATAAAGTATCTTTATGTTCATAAGTCTCAATTTGGAATTTAAAATGTAATTATCTCTATCCATTAAGCTCTCACAAGAAACCCTTGAACTTCACCCTAAAAGCATTCGCCTCTCGAGCCCATTAGACATGTTGGTGATCGATTGTTTATCATAACTGATGCAGCATCTTATTAATAGTTCGTATAATTAGAGGAAACGCCCCATCAAGCTTCACCGTGTGTCCTCGGCGACTATGAAAGGGGCACTGAATACGCGGCGCGGCGCGTTCAAACCAATCGCAGCCAACGCAGGAAGTTCAATTATCTTCCTTTAACTTTAACGCATAAAGTCGACACAATCATTTCATTAAACTGAATCTTTGTGATTCAATCGCTCATAATTGGACTGATCAAACGGACCAATTACGGGTCCTCCCTAGATGAGCACAAGTATGCAATATGCGTAATTATAGGAGCAATGATATGTAATGGAACTTGAACGCATTAATTGTTGATGCAAGTAGTACAACGAACTTGTCGCAGAGAAACGACTCGTATTACAAGTTAGTTTTACGACCCGACTTCGTGTGAAATCGCCACACATTATCATTAAACGAAATAGTATTTTTAGTGCCTTAATTTATTTTACGGGTGATTCAAGCCACACGTATATTTAAAACGAACTAAAAATACGAATGCATATGAAACGCGCTGACTGTGTAAACAACGTGATGGAATCATAATATTGTCTTTTAATCCAACTGTTCCATATCGAGTATTTGTCAGTGGAGCACAACAAAGCTTATCACGAATGTATGACGTTGCATCTCCAACAAAGGATAATCCAGGATCGTCGCCGACGATACCACTGTCACAAAGTTGGACATAAATCTTTCATGTTGACGGCGATCGACATCTACAACGTTCCTTAGTTACTAACACACGTATAATCTCCTTCTGTCGACGACTGTCCCTGTAGTTATTACTTCTAGCGTTTGTAAACAAACCACTTTTCGTTTGAATAATACACTCGGCGAGGTGAGGCACCGAACACAATGGCGACACTGTAATAGTTTCCGTTTTGAATAAGAGATGTCTATTGTCTCCTTTCATATTGATTGAGTTCATCTCTTATATTACGACAAATACCAGCTTCGGAAATTGTTTTCCGGTCAAATTATGGCTAAAGTTAATTTTTATGTCGATTGGAATTTACGGAGGGAGACGCTATGAATCATAATAAGCCACGATATTGGTTTCAGTGTAGACAGGTAGGTTCTGAGAAGTCGTAGAGTAGAGGTTCATTGAACGCGTCATATAATGAAGTTCTAATAATAGCGTCGCGATATTTCGTCATCTCTGGAGACGGCACATATTGGTGCGTGACAGTGACATCGAGTATCAGTGAAATCAGTGGCGTACTGGCGTCGCCAGATATTTCGGTTGCACCGGTAGTCACCGGACGCTTATCGGAACAGGGTATTTCAGCCTAACCCGTTTTAAAAATAAATAAACTGCTGTCCCGTCCGAATAAATACAAACCTCGCTTTGACACTGCTTCCTATAAATAACTGTAATGAATAGGCGGCTGGCGGTCCCGCGGCAATATGTACGTAATGTGGACGTTTCCTCGCCTGGATTTATTTCTCTCCTTATTTGAATATTTTATAATTGAGAAGGACATGTTGCTTTACAGTGTCACAACAGGGTGCGGTTAACATAGTGGGACGACCAGCTGGTTACATGAAATACTGCGAAGCGCTCATTCGATCACAAAGAACTTTGTCAAAGTGTATAAATTGCGGCCTTCACCTAACTGTAAAATGTTATATAGTAGGCAAAAAAAAACTTTAATACCCTACACAAACGTACCTAATTGCCGTAAATGCTTATTTATATCTTAATTAATAGTAATATTAACCGTTAGTTAGATAACTGGTAGATAATAAT